TGTACGAGTCCTATATCGAATACAACGTGGCATGATAATCACAGCCCTTTAATAGTGGGAAATTTTTCTCAGAGAGTGAGTTGATTTAGATAACTCAACAGTGAGTTGATGCTGAAAACTCAATCACAGATTAATCTATGGAGTTGATATTTTCAAACAATTTCTGGCACAGACATATTTTGTAGCTGTTATTTTTAGTACACATTGCTTCTTATGTCAAGGTCTTCCTGAAGACTACATCTTAAAAGTTGCATTCTAAAAGTATTTATATATCTTTGGGATCTTGGGACTGTTGTACTTGTATCATACGAGTTAAAACTATATATACTAGAAATACGCCATACTTGCAACATACATATACAGTGACACCCCACAAAGTCACGCCTCAGTAAGTCGCGATTTCAGCTAAGTCGCAGGTAGTTGAATGGCGCCAAATTCTGTTGTGTTTTGACGACAGTTTTGAAGTAAAAGAACTAATGTTTCGTTGCATCGTGTACAAGTATTTAATTATTCGTTAAAGGGCTGGGAGGGACTTAACAGCCACTGTTCGTCAATTACTGAGATACAATAGGTATACTTGCAATATGCATATATACTGTAAAAGGGGTTGATTATTCACTGGGTTTTAATTTTGCCTATTTCGCTGACTGGAAAATGCGCTAAATTAAAACCCAGTGAATATGTAAAATTTAGCATAGAACACATTATCTAAATGATAAAATCGTGAAATTAAAACCCACTGAATATGCCTGAAATGCTAAATCAGTGAAATTTAAACCCAGTGAAAATTAGTCATTTTACAGTATATAACAGCATATAAGAATGCAATCAATAAGATATAAAACATGTTTGGCTGAAACTTCCATGGCCAAAATTTCCTACATTCGTGTTGGAACACTATTCCAAACACACATAAGAAGGGAAGCCAAATTATTTTATATTAGGACCAACAAGTATTTAACATAATGGCCCAGATTCCTGATACCTGATAAAAATCTATGAATAATAATAATAATAATAATAACAATTATTATTGTTTATTGCATCTTTAGAAATATATTTCCTTCAGTATATAGCAATAGAAATATTAATCAGTACAAATAAAATAAAATATAACAAGTTAGTAGAAGAATTTAAAAAAGTGAATAAAATATAATAAGTTCAAATCACATGTTTTTTGGTAGTTGTTGGAATGCCAAGAAGATAAATTGTGCAACATGCTTAATTGAGGTTTTGTCTGTGTGCAACTTTAGGGAAACTTTTTGATTCTGGTGTATGCAGTACGTAAAATAAAAACAAATTAATGTGATGTTATAAATATCCATGATATATTTATATTTATTGTGTCCTGGTTCTGCAAACTTAAATTACACATGACATTTTACAAATATTAAGACTAGTTAGTCCCCGTTCGGACGCAGTCCGAAAACGGGGACTTATGTTTTGCCCTGTGTGCGTCCGTGCGTCCGTGATCACCTGTATCTCGAACATGCATGGACCGATTAAGTTCAAACTTCACTCATACATCACACATTATATGGGACATATGCACATGCATTTTTTTCATGATCCGATTAACGATAGCCGAATAGCGGCCATTTTAAGGCCGAAAATGCATCAAAATCGCACATTTTCACCATTCCGGACCCGGATCTCAGTTATGCATGGACGGATTTTGTTCAAATTTGGTACATACATTAAACATAATAGGACCTTGATGCACGTCATTTTTTTTTTTGGATCGGGTTCGAAATGGCCGACTGGCGACCATTTTGTTTTAAAGAATTCAGTTCTGGATCCGTATCTGAGACATGCTTGGATTGATCGAGTTCAAACTTCACACACACAA